GAGCAAAGACAAAGCATCCCCACTGCACCTTGCCTGAATTTCTAATCTACGAATTCATGAATGTGAAAAAAAAGTTTGTTTTACACCAAAAAAAAAAAAAAAATCACCAGTGTAACACTCTTCTTAGTACAGCGGTTCTCAACCTGTTCGACCCCTTTGGCGGTCGAAGGACCCTTTCACAGGGGTCGCCTAAGACCATCCTGCATATCAGATATTTACATGACGATTCCTAACAGTAGCAACATGACAGTTATGAAGTAGCAACGAAAATAATTTTATGGTTGGGTCACAACATGAGGAACTGTGTTTAAAGGGCCAGAAGGTTGAGAACCACTGGTTTAGTGTATGAAGATAGTTACCACTGAAGTTTTACTAGTAGTTGAAGAAAAGGAGTATCTCCCTCCAGATTTTCCAGACTAAAAATTCCAGATATTCTAGTGCTTGGTGGTCCCATTCCATTAAGAGCAGAAGTTATTTCAACCACGTGGGTCACGCCCTTACGCTGGGGAAGCTCTCTCCTGTGCAGAGAGGAAGGTGCCCACCTGGAAGAGCGTCTTAGGGCTGGACCAGTCGCCCCCGGAGTAGTGAATGCTGGATTTCAACACCCTTTCTGGCATCCTGGCCCAGGACTCTCCCTGTGACTGTCACATTCTCTGAAGCACACGCAAGGCCCTGGAATCACAGCTTCGTCATCTGTCAAAGGCCAGGTTTATGAGCTGCCAAGGCGTGACGCTACACCCGCCAGGTGTGCTGAGCCTTGTGTGACTAATGCAGTGCCAGGGCTTGGGTACTTGTCTGATGGCCAGATCTGGGACGTTCAACAGGATGCAGAGGCCTAAGCCGTGGGTGTCTTTTGTTTTTGTTTCATACCTTTAGAGATAGGAACCAATACCTACTGTACTTCTCCAGACGGGAGAGATGGGCCTCCGGGTCAGCATCAAAAGTAGTCGCTCGTTGAGGGTGACTTCAACCACAATCCCAAATCATGTGACTCAACCAGGAGTCTGGTGAGAACTCTGCTCTGATAGAGGCCCCAAGCCCTGCAAACTTCGCTTGGATCCATCTGGGTCACCCAGAAACACCCTCCCCCCTTACTTGTGTTCTAAACCCAAGTCATCTGGTTTCAGTATCAATTTTACCTCAACTTTCAGCATATTTTCAACCAAAAAGTCTAAATCCGAGTATCTAAACCTTTTCTAGTCTGTGACACTCACAGTGTGTGTGTGTGCGTGTGTGTGTGTGTGTGTGTGTGTGTGTGTGAGAGAGTGAGAGAGAGAGAGAGAGAGAGAGAGAGAGAGAGAGAAATAAGAGAGTGAGAAAGGAGGAGAGAGAGGAAATGAGGGAGAGACAGAGAGAGGAGGAATTTCTGTGTCAGGAAGAGAAGTTGAGATCATTTAAAACTACTTTTCCACTAGTTCTGGAGCCCAAACAATTCACTAAATAAAAAGATTTTACAATGACTGGAGAACAGTCAATTGAGGTTCTTTAATGTCATTTCATAAAGTAATTTTTACTGCATGAGTTTTGAAAGAAATCAAACAATACTTGAGAGTCTTGGGCATGGATCCCCTTTTATTTATAACTAGAGACCCAGTGCATGAAATTGGTGCACTTGGGGGGGCCCCCTCAGCCCCCGCCTCCGTGCTCGCCAGCCATGAGCCCGGCTTCTGTCTGAGCAGCGCTCCCCCTTTGGGAGCACACTGACCACCAGGGGGCACCTCCTGCATTGAGCGTCTGCCCCCTGGTGGTCAGTGCGTGTCATAGCGACCGGTTGTTTCGCTGTTCGGTCGATTTGCATATTAGCCTTTTATTATATAGGATACTATTAAACAGCTCTTCAGCTCTAGAATGCATTCCGTGTTCATTGAGAAGTATAATGATCTTCACCTCCAACCTTAATTCTACAATATTTACTGAGCATGTTTATTAGAAGGTGGTATATTTACTTAATTTATATGTTCAGTTATTAAAACATGCTGAACAGTGAAGCAGCTCAGGTACCCTCTGTTCCAATGCCTTGCCTCTGCCGATCCAGAGCCACCATGCCTCAGCTTACCCATTCCGTCTCCCACCCTGGCAGATGGAGGACAGCATTTGGACTCAGGTGGACGCAGATCTGCAAATACACTCAAGGCCGTCGCAGAGCTGTCCGAGCCCGGCGCTCCATCCAACCAGCGAAAGACATTTGAGAAACAGCAAGTGTTTCTTCTTTCTCCTCCCTGGTACCCACCCTCTCCCCCTCCTCAGGAGCCCAGTTAGGTCATGGAGTAAGCCCTGCTTTCGGACTTTCCCCGAGGACTCAGAAAGGCCTGCCCCCAGGTTCTGCCGCCCCTGGCTTGCTTCACCTCCCACACACATTCTCTGTTGCTGGGACCACAACATCCACACCATACAATTGAATTCTGGATCACACTCTGTCAAGTGCCTGACAATCATATCACAGGTGCTAGTCTTGCCTTCACTACGGGAAGCCCCTGGAAATGTACTTCTCCTTGACAACAGCTCCTGGCACTGTGCTTCACTTACAGCAGGTGCTCGGTAGATGAAACACTTGCCTTTATAGCAAGTCTTTCCTGTGAGGGTGGTGAGTGGACTCAGACAACCAGCCCTCGCAGGCCAGGCGCTGAGCTGACGCTAGGCCTGTGGCGTCCCTGAGGTGCCCTGCCAAGCAGTGATGTCAGCAGTGCATTCCATAGCCATGCCCAGGGCCTGTCTGGAGGGCCCCTCTGGCCTCTCCTCGCCCTTGTAAATTCAGTTTCTTAGGAACTCCCTCCTCCCTCCACCCCTCCACAGTAGCCCTCCTTAAGTTTAACCTGAGGCGTTTGTGAAAAGGGTATTGTTCCCTCTCCATCGCTGCTGCAGAGCATAGCCTCTGGCCTTTGAAAGGGCAGGTTGGATGAAGGAATTGCTGGATGAACAGGAGGGTGAGGAGGTCAGTGGGTGAGTAGAAGAATGAAGCAGGCATGCCCCGGGATGACGCCCTCAGGGGGAGAGATTCCTGCTGGTTCAAGACCCCAGTGGGATGCCATTTACTCCACAGGGCGAAATGTTTTCAAAAGCATTTTCAAATGTCTGTAACTTAGAAACTGGAAGATTTATGAACGTGGAATCAAAACGCGGCAAGACACTTATAAGGGTAATTCTAGAATTCGGTACACCCAAGCAGAGTCATTTATGCCTGGTTGCTAGGTGATCGTTTTTTGAAATGTTCAATGTTTTTATTCACCACCTATGCTAGAGGTCCATTACTTCCCTCGAATGAAAGCAAAATATGTCTGCCGTCACCATCAATATTCTTTACCCTTGAACTTGAAGGAAGCTTTTAAAGAAAAAGGGCGAGGAGAGCTTTAAGACCCCGCGCAGTTTCTCGATCTCAGTGGCATGTGTGAATCACCTGGGGGAGGCTTTTAAAAGTGTTGGGGCCCAGGGTGCACTTCAACTCTATCACATCAGCGTCTCCGGAGATGGGACCCAGGAATTGGTATTTTTCCTTTTTCTGTTTTAAAACATTTTTTTCTTTTTAAGGTTTTTTTTCCTGTTGTTTTTTTTTTCCTTTTTTTTTTCTTTTATGGCCTGGCATCCTTATTTTTAAACTCCCCAAGTGACTTTCACCTGCAGCCAAGACTGCACCACCGCTCTAACCCACATGCAGCTGAGATTAAATGCAGTGGTTCTCAACCTTCTGGCCCTTTAAATACAGTTCCTCATGTTGTGACCCAACCATAAAATTATTTTCGTTGCTACTTCATAACTGTCATGTTGCTACTGTTATGAATCGTCATGTAAATATCTGATATGCAGGATGGTCTTAGGCGACCCCTGTGAAAGGGTCGTTCGACCGCCAAAGGGGTCGCGACCCACAGGTTGAGAACCGCTGGATTAATGGAAAGACGAACTGTGCAAACGCGAGGGTTAACGTTCCCTTTAAGAGTCAGGCCTGAAGCCGGCCTGTGCCCTCACTCTGGCCTCCCCTGCCCCCATTATCTCCTTCCTCCTCTCCACTTAGTTCTGTCTTGGCATCAAGAGTGGCTCCCGCACCGAAACCAGTTTGGCTCAGTGGATAGAGCGTCGGCCTGCAGACTGAAAGGTCCCAGGTTCGATTCCGGTCAAGGGCATGCACCTGGGTTGCGGGCACATCCCCAGTAGGGGGTGTGCAGGAGGCAGCTGATCGATGTTTCTCACTTTCTATCTCTCTCCCTTCCTCTCTGTAAAAAATCAATAAAATATATTTTTTTTAAAAAAAAGAATGGCTCCCGGGCCAGCTCCTGAGGACCCCAGCTCAGGTGAACAACACAGTCATTTTGTGAAAGCTGGACGTTCCACTCCGCAACTCCGAACTGGGCTTCGGTGCCTAGAAAGGAGGTTCAGGGATTGAGCCGAACGGAGAGTTGAAATAAATCCACCTGAAGATGTTGCAAACCACCCTGAACGGAGGCGGCCATGCCCCCAGGTCCTGGGCAAGTTGAAAGAAACAGCAAGCTGCAGGCCGCCCCACCCCTTGGTCCATGGACATGAATTTCTCCTCCGATTGTTGCCCAGTAAGAAGGCCGACCGCAGTTTGCCTGGGGCGTCCCTCTCTCTCCAGTGCTCCCCACTGCAGCTTCGCCAAAGCACCTGCCTTCACCCAAGCCTGTGCCTGCGCCTGCTTTCACAGTGTGGTTGCTGGGCTTGGCCATTTCACGGCACCATTTGGACACAGTGTCTGGGTTTGCCCACCAAGAGCATCTTTTCCTGGAACTTGGCAGCAGTTGGGTGTCAAGGAGGACACGGGAGGGCAGATCTCTCTCTTCCATTCCCACCCATGAATTCCTCCCAGGCCCTCTGGCTGGGCAGGGCTCCTGCCTGGGTGGGACCGAAAGACTTGCACACGACACCAGCAATTTGCACTTATGTATTCAGTTCCCTATGTACTGGAGTAACGGGCCTAGAAGGGGAAGAGAAACACTGGAAGAGCTGCCTGGCTGGAGTAACTACCTAACTACATCATGGCTTCCTACGCTTTACAAAATCATCTTCCTACAGGAGAATCGGCTGCCGCAGGGGTAGCAGGGGTTGCAAGGGTCGCAGGGGCTGCAGGGGCTGCAGGGGTTACAGGGGTTGCAGGGGTTACAGGGGTTACAGGGGCTGCAGGGGTTACAGGGGTTGCAGGGGTTGCAGGGGCTGCAGGGAGACGTGCAGGGGTAGCACGGAGACTCGATCTTGACGCAGCTGCCCAGCCCGTAGGAGTAGGTCACGTCCTTCTCGTCCACGCACGGGGGCAGGCTGAACTCCTTGCAGATGTTCATGTAGCTGTACTTCTTCGAGCCCAGACAGTCATACCTGTTCTCCCGCTCAGCCGACACACACACCTTTCCATCCTTCACGCGGACCTTCACTTGATCGGGTTCAAAGCCGCACACGTTCACCGATCCTAAAATGTTACTGCTACAGCAAGAGGAGGCCAGAATCCTGTTGGTTGTTCTTCTCAGTCTGCGATGGAGAGCATGGGAAGGGTGAGAGAAACATCTCAGAACTCAGCTTGAGAAGCCATGTGTTGATCTCTATTTTTTTAATAGCGAAAGTAAACACCCATCAGTATAAAAAAGTCAAATTTTACAGAAGTGTATAAAGTAAAACACAAAAGGCCTCCCATGTAAATGACACTCCCCACAGGTAAACCTCTGTTAACAACAGTTAGAGGCTTGGCCTTCCAGATATTTCTTTTGTATTTAAATCCCAGCTCCTCCTTTGATCAGTTACGGAAACTTGGGCAGGTTCCTTACCCTCTCTGTGCCTCAGTTTCCTCATCTGTAAAATGGAAATAGTACCAGTACCTACATCATAGTATTGGTTCAATGAAATGATGTCTTTTGCCTAAAATTGTACTCGGCACATTATACACCCTGCTTAATTATTACCATGATCATCATTATTGTTACTATTATGGGTGTTTTTTTTAACAGGATCCAACTAATAAGATACCGTTTAAAATGATGGCTGTCAGCCTTAGAATTCAGCCCTGCTTATCCACGGGACTGGGGCCACCACTGGGCCATCACACAGACTCAGCCTCAACACCCCATCAACAAATGACAAGGCTGGATGCCAGGGCCTGCCTCGTCTCCTCCTGCCTGCGGCTGCTCCGCACTCTGATGGCTGGCCCAGCAGGGAAGTCCCCTTGCAGGGCCTGTGTGCTGGATCCTACCGCCTCCTCATCTAGTGACTTCGTGCTGGCAGCTTGAAAGATGGCATGGTGAGCACCTTTACACCATGAAAATTGGCAAACACTACACATCAAGGTTTTTCTCTTCCCACCACCAAGCTGATGGGTAGGTACCCCTGCTGGTGGCCCTTGGAGCAGATCTCCATGAGTTATGTAGAGCGGCCTTGTTGCTGCTCCTCAGTCCGGTGCATAAATCCTGAATAATAAAACAACAATAACAACAGCTCACACGAATCAATCACTGATGATACATCAGGAGGTGGTCAAGTGAAGTGCATACGAGCACAAGTCCTGCAACCCGTTTAGGTCCAAACCTTGGCTCTGCCACCGTGGACAAGTTACTGAATCTCTGTGCCTCAGTTTCCGCATCTGTAACTCTGGGACCTACTTCTGGAGTTGTTGGGAGGCTTAAATTAGTGAATGAATAAAAAGTATTTATAATAGTGCTTGGCACGTGATGAAGATGTTGGGTTTTGTCTCCCCCCTCCCCCCCCCCCAATGTACCATAGAAAGTGCTAACCTGCTAAAGGCATTGTTTTGTTTAATCTTCACAATAACCCTATATTGCAGATGTAATTATCACCGTTTTACAGATGAGGAGAAGGGAACAGTGGTGAATGGCAGAGTCTGGATTCATATGCAGGCCTGTTAATGGCAAGGTTATGAGCTCTCAGACTCTGGTCTGCCGGGGTCCATTTTCTAAATGCCCAATCCTTCCCAAGACAACTCAGTGCTCTGAAATGGTCTTTTGTCCCTTAACATGAAGACAATCTGTGTTCTAAGAGAGACTCCTGGCAACTCTTGCATCTCTGTCTCCAAAGGAAGGCCTTGGTGTGTGGGATTCCTAGAACTTCTTCCAGTTTGAGGCGTCTGGACTCAATGATTGGGCTATTGGTTTGAGATACATTTTTAATTCTTACTTTTTATGCTGAATTTTATTTATACGCTTCTTTTTGTTACATAAGTTAGGCAAGTTCATTGCAGAAAACTCAGGAACTACAGATAAGCAAAAAGATGGTGTATATATTTTTAAATACCCATAAGCCTATATAACATTTAACATTTTGGGGTAGACTCTCCGTGTGTGTGTGTGTGTGTGTGTGTGTGTGTGTGTGTGTGTGTATCTATTTCTACATAGATGTATAGTTTTGTGTGTGCTATTGTGAAATCATGCTATACATATGGCTTCGAATCTGCATTTTTCTCTTGATAAGCCCTATCATGATTGGTTTAACAATGTGAGCCCTTGTACTGACAGTTATAAACCAGGGTTCTTACTGGCTAATCCAAAATGGTCTAATAGAAGATGTTGAGGCTGACAAAAATCTTAGGTAAGGCACCCAGAGGTCTGGGACAGTCATTCGGCTCCATTTCCACCCCTGGGGGTGGTATGGGGCCCGAGTGTGCCAGGGTACCCATAGGCCATACTAAGAGGAAAGGAGGAGAATTGGACTGTCTTTGAAATCTGTACATGACCCTGTGAGAACAACAGGAGAAAAAGCATTCTCGCTGTCTGGATGGGCAGAGAGCAGCACACCAAGGGGCTCCAGGCCTCTGTGGATGGAGCACAACAGCCCGAGCCAAGAGCGGAGCACAGAGCGGACGACTGCCCCCGGTCTCCAAGAATCTCCCTTCGTGTGTGTGGACTGAGAGCCAAGCTCTTCTGTTCAGCTCAGACCTTCCAGGTGGAGATAAGAAGCATCAAAGCCCGCCGTGCAGGCAGGGCTGGGCCTCACAAAGAATGGCCAGGGACCCCAAGCAGGACTGCTAGACCTGGCTACTGCCACGACTGATTTCACCGAAGCCCCAGGCCCTGTGCAGGAGGTGGATCTGGGAGCCAGATCTACAAGCCACAGCAGACTCCAAGGTCCATCTCCTCCTCTTAGCAACCTGCATCTTCAGGTACAATTTCATGTATTTTATTGCTTCGACTCCCCCTCTTCTCTGTTCCCATCACTCTGTCTCCTTTGTCCCTGCAGCAGCTGCACAGGAGTCTCTCCAAAGTGGATCTTCAGAAAGTTGCCCAGGAAGTCTTGGCGCGGTGGGGATTTTCCTTCCTTTTGTTCCTAGGTCAGAGGCTAACAGCGAGGATGTGTGGGTTTCGGAGAAATTGCCAGAGCCACATTTCACTCATCAGACTCAACTCTCAACGTGCAACTTGACTCCTGCCTAGAGGTGAACTCATCATCCCACATGGGATCGTCCGTGGCTCCGTGGGGACTGCCTCCTATACCTGTCATGATGGAGCTTAGCCACAATAAACAGGAGACTGGCCCCTTTGGTTCGTTGCGGAAGCCTCTTGGAAAGCGGGGGTAAAGCGAGTGGACGGCCAGTGTCTATGTCTGCCACCTCTTCTCCCTACTGACACTGAATTTCACCTGAACGTACAACCAAGCTCCTGAAGGTGACAGATACTGCCCACTGCAATGATGAGCTACACAGCCAGCCATCTTCACAGAGATATAACTGAGGGGCAGCCTGGTGATGAATACAGTAACAAAGATGTCAAAAAGGCCTCTTGCCCTAGCTGGTTTGGCTCAGTGGATAGAGCGTTGGCTTGTGGACTGAAGGGTCCCGATTGCAGTCAAGGGCACATTCCCCGGGTTGCGGGCTGGATCCTCAGTAGGGGGTGTGCAGGAGGCAGCCGATCAATGATTCTCTCTCATCATTGGTGTTTCTATCTCTCTCTCTTCCTCTCCCTTCCTCTCTGAAATCAATAAAATATATATATATATATATATTTTTTTAAAAAGGCCTCATTTTACCCAAGAGCCAAGGGAAGTAGGCCTTTCTCTAGTGGTCCTTGAGGTACTTGGCTTTTTCTCCTCATTTAGAGCCCTTTAGGACCTAGTAAACTAGATCCCTCTTTTCCAACATGTTTTTCCCCTTCTCTTCTTTCTTCTCCCTCTTCCCTTCTTTTCCGGCCTTGTCTCTCTTCTCCAGATTTTGGTTGATACCGAAGAACGATGCCATGGCAGGAGCAGCGTCCCCCCCACCAATGCAGGTGCACCCCCCACAGAGCTGTTGGGAACAGGTGGCTCGGCCCCACCCCCAGAGTTCTGGCTCAGCGCGCCTGCCAGAGGAGCTGAGAATTTGCATTTCTAACAAGTTCCAGGTGGTGCTCCCGCTGCTGGCCCAGAGACCGCTCTTTGAGAATCACTGACCAGACTAGGCAAGCCTGGCTTCAAGTCCCGGATCTCCCACCTCCTGGTGACCAAGGACATGGCGGCAGTGTCTGTTCCATGATCTATAAGATGGCCACGATGGTACAAGGATGAAACGAAGCGGAAGGTCAAGGGGCAGTTTCACTCTTAAAGGGTAAGTCTATCAGGCTCCTCCTTATTCAGGCTTTCCCAAAACCTGAGGTTTTAAGTGACCAAACCCCTGTCCTGTAACATTAAACAAGGCCAAACCGAATAGCAGACATGCACTTGGCCTAGATGGGCAGCAGCTCCTACTCCTGTCCTCCGGGGGTGGCTGGGCTCCGAGGCCTGTGGGTATGAGGGGACTGAGATTCCTCCCTTCCCACGGAGGGAAGCCAGTCTTTCACCCGCCAGCGTTCCCCCCTTTAACGAGGCCATAGCTTCTGAGTCAAGGAACGGGGTGAGGGTGGGGGATGGAAAGGTTTCCCCGAGGGCTTAGAACTGGGCCAGGCCCTGCTAACCCGGCCAAGAAGCCACCATGAGGGCTGGCCTTCATCAGCCTCTAGCGTAAGAGTGATTCCGTGAAAACCCCGTTCTCAGCGTGTGAAGGGGCGAACCAGGAAAGAAATGAGAAGGCAGATGTGTGAGGTTCACAGAAGACGGGTGCCCCTTGTGTGGGGATCTTCGAGGGAATTTTTCACTGAGACTCAGGCCGCCCACAGTGGTGAGTGGAGCGACGTGCAACCTCAGGACCAGTTTCCCGGTGTCAGCCAAGGCTGCAGGGGTGAGGCCACCGGCCCTCTGCGGTGTGGCTGCAAGTCGAGGTTCCTTTGTCCATGAAGACTTCTGCCAGGAGCAGAGCAGCTGCAGGGCCTCATTAATTAGATACCAAACCCCGAAGGGCAGGGGAGCGTGGCAGCTGGCTCTTGTTTGTTTTTCCCACGTGAGTACAGAGGACGGAGAGCCCACAAAGTGAGGCGCTGACTGAGGTGCAAACCAAGTCGGGTTGGCGGCACAGCTTCTTCTTTTTTTTTTTTTTTTTACTTGTTTTCTTTTTCTTTTTTTTTTTTTGCTAAAAGTATTACAAAGGGTATTACATAAGTGTCCTTTTTTTTCCCCCGCCCTTGACAATCCCCTGCCCTCCCTTACCCCCCAGTGTCTTATGTCCATTAGTTATGCTTATATGGATGCATACAAGTCCTTCGGTTGATCTCTTACCCCCCTCCCTCCTGCCCCCAACCCTCCCTG